GGCGCCACGCCTTCTGTAGCCGCAGGGCAGGCCACGCGAATCAGTTGGCCTGGCTCTCCGGGCCCTGCTGCAGGCTGCTGGGATCCCTGGCACTCTATCACTTTTCTAACTTACAGTTTTAAAGTGGAGTAATGAAAGCAAGACTTGTGGAAAGAAAATGCAGACAATGGAGGGAATCCTCAGTCAGCTCATTACTAGAGATGTCAACCATACAACCATCCAAAAGCCTTTAATTATGTTTGACTAGGATTTTAAAATACGTAAAAATGAAAGTGATCCTGATTTATAAGATTAATAAGAGGTCAATAAGCCAGAAATGTAAAGAACTTCAACTCAACAATAACAACAACAAACAATCCAATTTTGAAATGGAGTTGTACAAAGATCCAGTGGAACTCTAATAAGATAAAGAAATACGTTCTGGTGGGGATGTGGAAAAACTAGAACCCTTGTGTGCTACTGATGAGAATGTAAAATGCTGCAGCTACAGTGGAAGACAGCATGGCAATTCCTCAGAAAATTACCAAAGTTATCATATGACCCAGCCATTCCACTTCTGGATATTTACCCCAAAGATTGAAAGCAGAGACTCAGAGATATTTCCACACCTGTAGCTGCATTACTCATAATAGCTCATACCTGGAGGCAACCCAGATTTTCATCAGTAAATAAATGGGTAAACCAAATATAATAAATAAATAACTATTTTACAGACTGAAAAGCCAAATTCTAACACATGCTACATTTTGAATGAACATTAAGTACATAATGCTAAGGAAAATAAGTAGGTCACCAAAAGAGAAATACTATGAATTCATGTATATGAGATTCCTAGAGTGTCCAAATTCAGAAACACAAAGTAGAATGGTGTTAGGCAGGAGTTAGGATAAATACATATGGGAAGTTACTATTTTTTGGGGATTCGACTCCGGAAGATGAAAAAATGGTCTGAAGTTAGAAGGTGGCAATAATTGCACAGGGTAAATGTACTTGATGGCACTGATGATACAGAATAGAAGAGACAGAGACGAATCCACATGAATACAGTTATCTCATAGTAGACAAAGGCACCGAAAACATTCATTGGAGAAAAGATAGCCTATTCAACAAATGGTTCTGGGAAAATTGGATATCCATATGTAACAAAATGGAATTAAACCCCTATCTCTCACTCTGCATGAAACTCAACTGAAAATGAATCAAAGACTTAGACACTATAACAGAGACTCTGTGTCTATAGAAGAAAAAGTAGGCCCATCTTCACCATGTCAATTTAGGATCTGACTTTCTTAACAAGACTCCTAAAGCACAAGAAGTAAAATCAGGAATCAATAAATGGGATGGATTCAAACTAAAAAGCTTCTACTCAGCAAAGGAAACAATTAAGAATGTGAAAAGAGAGCCTACAGAATGGGAGAGAATCATTACCACCTGCACCTCGTATACAGCATTAATCTCCAAGATATATAAAAAAACTCAAAAAACTTAACATTAAAAAAAACAAATAAACCAGTCAACAAAGGGGCTAAGAAACTGAGCAGACACTTCACAGAAGAAATATTATCAATCAACAAATATATGAAAAAAGTGTTCAACATCTCTAGAAATTAGAGAAATGCAAATCAAAATTACTCTAAGATTTCATCTCACTCCAGTCAGAAGGTCAATTATCAAGAATATGAGCAACAATAAATGTTGGTGAGGATATGGGGGAAAAGATAGACTCACACATTGCTGGTGAGGCTGCAAATTGGTGCAACCACTCTGGAAAGCAGTATGGAGATTCCTCAGAAAACTTGGAATGGATCGACCATTTGACCCAGGTATCCTACTCCTCAGTTTATACACAAAAAACTTAAATCAGCATAGTACGGAGATTCAGACAAATCAATGTTTATAGCAGCTCAATTCCCGATAGCTAAACCATGGAACTAACCCTAGGTGTCCTTCAATAAATGAATGGATAAATAAAATGTGGTGTATGTATACACAATGGAATATTACTCTGCTTTAAAGAAGAATGAAATGATGGTATCTGCCAATAAATGAATAGAGCTGGAGAATATCCTGCTAAATGAAGTAAGCAAATCCCCAGAAAACCAAAGACCAAATATTTTCTCTGATATGTGGATGCTAACTCACAATAAAGGAGGCAGGTGTTAGGGAAGAACAGAGTTACTTTGGATTAGGCAGAGGGGATTAAAGAGAGGGAAGGGGATATTGAGTTAGGAGAGATAGTAGAATGAATCTGATATTATTATCCCATGTGCATAAATGACTACGCAATGGATGTGATTCTATATCATGTACAACCAGAAGAATGAGAAGTTATATTCCATTTATGTATGATGTATCGAAGTGCATTCTATTGTCATGTATGACTAATTAGAACAAATAAAAAAATTAAAAAGAATGGTTAAAAGACTAAATCAGGGTTGTACATAGTTTACTAGGACATTCATACATACATGCATCTGTTAAAAAGAAAGCTTACTCTTCCACTTGGTTTTTAATGTACCAACTCATCCTACCCAGAATTAAACAGTAACATTTACTCTATACTTACCATAAATTCAAATTATTAAAAGATGTTCAAAAGTTTGAAAAAAGTAACAGCATTTTCTCAAATAAAGATCAAAATTTGCTTACCTATTCTGGATTTCAGTACAATCATTTTTGAGCACCCAAAAAGTGCTATCTACAACTGCGGCCAGAAGGATTGTGGCATACACCTTATCCAAAAAAAAAGGAAAGAATTTTAATTAGAGGTAAAATTTTTGTACATCATTTATTATTACAAGATATGTGGCTATATAATCAAGTCTCTCCACTGAGATCAACACTTTAAGTGGCTTGGCCAGAGTCCGTAAGAGAATACAAAACACTGTATATTATTAGTGTGCTTTCTAAATTAAATTGAAAATTAAGGCATCTGTTGTTTTGGGAGCTGATTGGGCAACAGAGCAGATGACTCTGAAAGTTAACATTCCTTTCCGTGTCAACCGGGCACTGCCACAAAGGGTAGCAGAGTGCTGAAGACACTTGGGGAGCAAATTTTCAGAGTTGAACTGAACTCCCAAGTTTTGTGCCAGTCAATGTGTAATTTCATATTTTAAAATCCTAAATTATTTGCTATCTGGCGCTTTACTAAAAATTATACTTCTGTACTACATTACACCTATTACAAACCTGAACAAGAGTTGTTCCTTTAATCTCAGGGAGCTACAAGGTTCTACCCTTCTTCTAGAGACTACTACTTCTCTGACAATTGCTGGAATTCCTCTTGGGGAACTGAGTTCGCTGATGGGACAAAGAGTTTGAATGTGCAATCTCAAGACACTGAGCCTGACACAATCCTGGTTTATTGAAAGTCGCTCTGTTCTAATTATGCTCTGCGCATAACTACCATCTACGTGTCTTGTACAAAGCACTGTAAACCACTTTGAGGGGCAAGTAGGAAAAATTAAATGCATGAATTACCTCAAAGAATCAACTCATTGCAGCTCACTGTTCCATCATGGGAAATCCAGGTTGATGGATCTAAATCACCAGATGTGTCTCCAAATGACATTACTTATTCTCTAAGAATAAAACTTTACCTTGGTTGACAGGACACCTAATTGCCTGTGTTCCAACAGAAATGCCAATGTCACAGGGATCAAAATATTTGGAGCAATGACAGTATGATTCAAATGGGGATATAGGATCTCAGATATGTTCAGAAAGTGATGACTTGTATATAAAAATTACAGTGTACATGTGAAGTAGTTAGCAGTATTTCATTAGAGCCAACAATATTCTTTCAGCACTCAGTAATCTTTCAGTACTCAGCAGAAACTCAATGACTGATAGTAAAATGACTGAAAAACCACCAGTAAATTAATCCCCTTATAAGTAACAGACCAATAAATTGGGAGAACTAGTGTTTCCTGTGTTACAGGGGTTAAGAATAACAAAAAACCTTAAGGAGGGCTGGGGAACATAGCTCAATTGGAACAGTGCTTGCCTTGCATGCATAAAGCCTGGTGTTCAATCCTCTGCACCACCACCGGAAAAAAAAAAAAAAAGGAAGGAGTGATAATCAACAACCACTACAGAACTAGTATAAAAGACAAAAGACTATTATCTCATCTCAGTTGAGAAAGATAATGGGACAATGAGTAGCCTTATTAACTCTAGTTACTACCTGTGTATAAATAGCACACTCTTTGAAATATCTATTTACAAATATCTATTTTCAAAGATTAGAATCTCTCAATGAGGAGAGTCAATTATAAGGAAGAACATTTGCCTACAGGTTCTTCTGTCAGAAAGTGTCCATCCCAGACCTCCCTCAGGTGTACTAAGTGCCACCAGGTGTCCCTCGTTGCCTGATTTCAGCTTCAAACCAACCTTCTTCCACCAACTGCCTGCCCTCTCCCTCCCCTTCTCTATTGCTTCTCTGCTTAAATTTTCTGCATAGTCCTACTGCCATCTGAGATGCTGTATATTTTATTTGTCCAATTACCACCTCTCTACCCTGATAAGAAAGTAAGTTCCATGAGGGCAGAGATTGTTATTTTTACTCACTTTGTTCAACACCATATTAGAGTCCCCAAAATGCAGCAAATGATCTGCGTGCAAGTTGTGGAATAAATCAATATATGAAGGACGCCAACTAATAGAACACCCCAAGTTGCTTTCAGTTTAATTAAAAAGTTCTTTTTCTAGCTGAGCATGGTGGCTCATGCCTAGAATCTCAGTGACTCTGGAGGCTGAAGCAGGAGGATTTCAAGTTCAAAGTCAGCCTCAGCAACTTAGTAAGGCCCTGAGCAACTTAGAGACCTTGTTTCAAAATAAAAAATAAAAAGGGTTGGGGATGTGGCTCAGTGGTTAAGCCTCCCTTGGTTCAATTCTTGATTGAACCCCCAAAATCTTTTTCTACTAGATTATATATAACATCTCTTCTAAACAACAAAACTTCTGATAGTGTCCTAGAAACCACTAAAAATGTTTCCATAGTAAAAACTTAATTTTTACCTGTCCTATATCCTCAATGGAGTAGGGGCAACAAATAGATGGAAGGGTGGGTAGAAGATACACATAATCCTGAGGCAGACTACATCAGAACAAACCTGCTCCCACATTAGTATTTCACAGCACAGTCATGAGTCTGCAGGTTACCTGACGACGAGTGACCGAAGGGAAACCCAGCAAGTTTGGATGTCCATAGGTGGGGTCTGGGGCTTCAGCCTAGCCATTTTGACTTGGGGCCTGGTCACTAGTTGGTTTTGTGTATTCTATTCTTTTGTTAAAGTATAGCTGAAAATTGAATGCTATTATTATTATTATTTTGAAGCAAGGTGTGCTGTCATTTGGTTGAATTTAGTTCAGTAGCAGAGTGTCTACCCTGTAAACATGTAGTGCCCCTGTATGTTCCCAGCACCTCACAGAATGAGGGGAAACAAACAATAGCAATAACCAATGCCAACAATATACAGCATTGAAATAAATGCTTGGTTCCTAATATGATATCTACAGTATTAACTACATTAAAAATAAGAAGTGGTGGGTTTAGCAATTGCCAGTAACAAAAACAATAAGTAACCATGAACTTATTGGCAGTAAATAAAACAGTAGTTGTGGACTACGTTATCCACAGAAAAAATAAATGCAATAGAATTAATAGTGGGGGCAGGAGTTACATAAACCAATTAGTTCTAAAATGGTAAGAATATAGTTAAAACAAAATAAAATATGAATGTAAAAAAGAGTTTACAATTTTAAAAAGTAAACAGAGAGAATGCAGAAGAGATGTAGCAGATGATGGTTGTAAGAAGAAGGTTAAAAAAAATAAAGGTAACAATGTAATGGAAGAGAGAAAAATGGAATTTGGCTATTAGTCGGAGAAGAAAAGAGAGAATTAGAAAACAATCCAAAAACAAAACCAAAATATACAAACCCCAAGCCCTAACCCTCAAAAGGCAAGGCAAGGCAAAATAACTACATTTTTAAAATGCTAAAAGTGAGAAAAAAAAGAAAGAAAAAATATGCATATATGTCCATGAATCAACTGGCACAACTAAAATACACACACAAATAATAAATAAAGTAAATAAATAAGAAAAAATAATGAAAAAAATGAAGAAACCATTTCCATTGAAATGGTCAAAATAGTTGAGCATAGGTAACCACTGTCTATGCCTATCTTTCTTTCCATTTCTCCTTGAGTTATGTACTAAGAGTGAGAGAAGGACTGGAGATTGTTAACCCCTTCCTTTTGTGTGTGTGTTTTGCTCTCTGAGCTGCCTTTGGGAATGGCTTTACACTGAAGCTTGTTCAAATAAGTCTCAGTTTCCCTTCTCACCAGTACAAGGTAGGATGGAATGGGAAGTACTATCAATAGGAGTTTTGTCTGCACAGATCAGTGCATTTCCAGGGTGGGGCTGTTGCAGAGTTCTATGATGAGAATTCTGGCAGGTGGAGTTTAACTTGATTCAGACTTTAAGAGATTTTTTGGATGGTGTATACTCTGAAGACTTTAGGTCCATACTATTGTGGATCTCTGTCAGGAGTTTGGATCTCAGGGGCCTCCCAGGAATTCTATTCATAGGGCATGGGAGCCAATCCTCCACACTTTATGCTGCCCAGGAACACAGCCTTCCTAGGTATAGTTCTTGAATGTATTCCCACCCCCTTGTTCAGATTCCCAGCTCACTTCAGCTGGTCATGTGAAAAGCCACACTTAAAGAAGAAGTAAGCTGACTCCCCTTCACTTTTCTGACTTGAATCCCCCTGGATACAATCTTCTCTGTGCCTGTTTCACTCCTATTCTGCTAGGTACCCCCTAGATCACACTGTAGGTGCTCGCTGGAACAGTGTGGCAGTGTTTGCTATGATCTCCTGGCTCTGAGACCGCAGCCGCAGTGTGGCTCTGCCTTCAAGATGCCTCTGCCTCTGCTCTCTGCAGCCAGTTGAGAAACAGAGCACTTTTCAAGCACCAGTGCACAATGCAGCCTCTGGATCCACTAAGCTTCAGGCTGCTTTCCTGATCTCAGATTCTTCCATACTAATCTGTCCACTGTGTTTCTGTCTATGTTCCCCCTCCTCTGTGCTGAACCAACACCACTACCACGGCTGCCACTGCTGCAGCAACCAGCTTGGCTCCAATGCATTCACTCTTCTTTGTTTAATGTACCCAAATTTCTAAGTCTCCAAGACACTCTTACTGTCAAATATTGAGTTTTAGTGAAATACCTCTTTTATCTGTCTGTTCGGAAGCAGTACTCCTGCTGCTTGGATCCTGAGCCATGAAAGAACTATGAATGCAGCCTTTCTCTAGTCCACCATCTTAAATCTCCCTGCATTTCTTCTTTAAAAGACCACGGTTTCCCTTAGCATTTGGAATCACAGTCTCTGGGTCAGGAATCCCCTGTATACTCTGTTTTGCTAGAAAAGCAATACAACATCTTTTTTCTTCTTCTCAAAACCTTGTCCTCATTAATGGATCAGCATCAGGGACAAGGACCCAGCTTCTGGTATCTGCAATGTGAACAGTTTTCATGAAAGCAACCAAAGCAGCAGGACTTGAGGAACTAAAATATCTGCAAGGAAGGAGCAGCACTAGATCAAACCCACTCTTTACTTTCTGTGTCTTTGTACATGAAAATTCCACACATAGTGGGTAACATTCAGGAAAACCATGAAGAAAAAAGCTGCCATAGGTGTGTTCCTGAAGCCCTTGATATTTCT